ACCTAGTTGCCAAAAAAATTTGGTCATTTTAGTAGCCATAAATGTAAAGTCTTGTAACTGTATTTAACCTTACAAGTACAAATCGGGAGGAGAGGGAGGGGTGACATGGGTAGGCAGCAGATGACTGAAAAAAAAATTTGTAGATTTAATTGAAAACAATATGATTCAACAGTGTATGCAGTCAAGAAAGTAAATGGCATTTTGGTAGGAAAATTCTTAGTATCCAAGATAAAAGACAATGTTTATAACACTGAAGAACTAAAGAGCCCATAGATAAGGGTGCTTAGGATGGTGAAAGATTTTGAGACCTTTCCTTATGAATATTGGTTGAAAGAATTAGGGATTTTTATTCTATAGAGTAGAAGATTTAGGAATGACAATCATTATTTTCAGGTTTATGAAGATCTTAAAAAATATCTGGATGACATAAATACTGTAGGGTATGTTACAGTAGGGATTCTTGGTCAAGTATGGATTGGACTATATGACTTGTTAGTGCCTTCACTGATAAGTGTGATATAAGGAATTTGTGGATGTTGTGATACAACCTTCCTATAAACTCACTATATTGGTTAAAAAACTAGTCACAAAAAAAGCAATACCACACTATTGAAAACTATACTGGGAATGAAAACTTGATTGGAAAATTCAAACTGTTATTAATCACAAGGATGTGTTAGATTTATTTAGTATCTTTCTTCTAAATCTCCATGTATCAGAGAAGTGGGATGCAGTACCTTGAATTGTTCTCAGAAAGAAAATAACACTCTGATGCAACTCCCAAATCCCACACTAATGTGCATCACTTCACTTCAATTCAATAATTATTCCATAAGTTCATGATACTATGTATTAGTAATACAAAGGCAACCCAGCCCTCAGGGACCTTACATTCTGCTGCATTGATACTACACAGATAACAGGCAAAGTGATTTCAGAAGACACTAACTCCTGAGGAAGGAGTCCTCTTGGAGGAGATATCACATGAGCCGAGCCTTCCAGGAACCTAGAGAATCTAAAAGATTGAACTGAGGAAAGTGCATTCCAGGAATGGTGTACAGCTTATGCAAAAGCATGGAGAAAGGAGATAGAATGTCAAGTTTGGGAAATAGCTAATAGGTTAGTTTGGTTTGAATATAGAGTAAATTAAGTAGAGTAATATGAAATGGTGGGAAAGGTAGAAAAGAACCAGATTGTGAAAGGGGCCAGGTAACACATTCATTATATGGCAATAATATAATCCAATATTAAGGCCACTCAGAAAGAAAAATGTATAAATGACTCTTTGGGACTAAAGAAGCCATCTTTTTTAATTGAGACCCTCAGATGGAAGAAGCAAAAAGAATGTCTGCTTCTATCAAATCTTTGTGCTACCATCTCCATGTTATTTTAACTGAACCATGATCAGTTCACTTTAAATTTCAGCCTTACTTTGGAAAAGTCAGATAATTATGAAATCTGGGTGAGATGCAGTAGTAGTATAAATTTGAGAGCTATCAGCTTACTAATGACAGCCTAAGCCTAAATTGGCTTCCAGTCTCCTTGAGATTTTTCAGATAGAATACAAGATGAGAGAGAGACAGAAAAAAGAGGAATTATGGTGCTCAAATAAGACAGCCTTCTAGGAAAGTGTCTGCCCTCTGAGAACTTAGTTCAGCCCCTCCTGCCTGTCACTCTAGGAATGATTTAGATATGTGCCAAGGAAACTTGCAAGTGAGAAAATTTCCAAAGTACTGACGGTCCCCAACTCAGTAATGAGTTGTCTCCAGTGTTCATCGTCAGCTTTGGTAGTTTGGAAATTGGAATGCATATCCCTTGGGAAAGAAAGTTCTAAGAGTAGAATCAGTTCCCAGACTAGACCGCAAGTCTACTTCACACAGAACATAGTGAAACAAAATCATAGAAATAGCCTAAATTCTAGGTCCTGGGAACTGTGACCTATGTGTTTTCATCTTTTTCTCTTAAGTAGAGGACTGGCCTTTCGCAAAATTTAGAAACAGGCAAAGTTTTTTCTTTGGCCCCTCCTCCCTTTCCTTTCAGGACCCTTTGTAATCTCCCATGACTTTGTCTTTATGCTTTAGGTGCCCACCATATTTTCATTACACCCTCTAAGCCAGCCAGTTTACCTCCCAAAGTGTTCAACGATAGCTACCTTTCCTCTCTCCAGTCTCCCAACAAAATTTCTATTTTCTTAATGTAGCTGATCTCAGTTGGTCTTAGAAGGTTCTAAAAGGTTTGTTGTTTTTTTTTGTTGTTTGTTTTTTGTTTTTTTACTATGTTTTATTGCAGATTTCTTGTATTGGGCTGAGGAGGTTCAGGGTAGGGCAACAGAATGTCATAATTTATGTATATATGAGTCATTTCTAAATCAGAAACATTAACTATATTGTCTAAGAGCCCTAAAGACAACTCCATATATTGGTTTCTATGAAAAATTCGTGAAAATCAAAGTAATGAATATTATGTAGGTTAAAAATACTTCAACAATCTCTCATTTCATCTATGTGAGTTCATCCTTTACAATGCGGATCTCTGTCTCTCTCTGAGTATATGCTCTTTGAGAGCTCATCTAAGCAAAAAAAAAAAATGTATCATCTTGTAGCCAAGTCTATTAATAAGCCTTCCCAAATTAACTGACCTGGCCCTAGGACTACAGGAATACAGTGTATCAAATAACCCATAATCAAAACATCTTCATTTTGGTACGAATTGCCAGTTAGCAATATTCTGGCTTAGTCATTGAAAATTAATCAATTAATAAGCAAGTATTTATTAAGAGCTTACTATGGCCTAGACACTGTACTTAGCACTGGTGAGTCAAAGAAAAAGCAAAAAAAAAAAAGAGAGAGATTTTCTACCCTCAAGTAGCTTAGATTCTAACAGGTAAGAACCTATATACATAAAAATATATTTGAGATACAAAGTAGGTGGAAGGTAACCTTAGAAGAAAAGGTTCTGGCAGCCCAGAAAAGGCCTCCTACAGAAGGTACCATTTGAGTAGAGTGCAAAAGCAGGCCAGGGATTTTAAGAAATGGAAGTGAGGCGGAAGAGTATATTAGACATGCAGAACAGACAGTAGGAAGGCACAGAGATGAGAGAAATGGACTTTCAAGTAGAACAACAAGTAGTTCGATATGGCTGGACTATAGAGTACCATGGAGCAGCTGCAAGGTTTTGAAAAGCTTTGAATGCCAAACAGAGGAGTTTATATCTTATCGTGGAGGTAATGGGAAGCCACTGAAGTTTACTGTGATGACATGGTTTGACTTGCACTTCAGGAAAATCACTTTGGTAGCTATGTGGAGAGTGGGTTAGAGTGATAATAAGAAATCTTGGTCTTTGCCACAATGAGGCATCAGAAGATCTTCTTGGCAGTAGCCTGATATATCCCCAGAGAAATTTGTTCTAAAGGTAGCACTAAAGTGAGTTCTCTACAACTTTTTAATTTCCTAGAGTGGTCTTCAGAGAAATGCCCTAAGTAGAATTAATTTTCTGACAATCTAAGACTTCCCCTTGAAAGAGAACCTTCCTTTAGTCTAAATGAAATCCCTCATGCTATGACTCATGGGGTTAATTTTTTCCAGAAACTATTCAGTGTTCATGTTTTATTGAATGAAATAATTCACATTTTCTATAATTATCCCTGATGATGAGGCTAGGAAGGTTTCCTTCATAGTGAGACAGTCAGAAATTTTAGTTGCAAACTGAAGTCTCTGCCAAGTCTTTACTAGAAGTGCAAAAAGTGCTTGACTTTTAGCCAGAGGCCTGTGTTGAAATTCCATTTCTTCCATTTACCCCATGTGAGACATTGGGCAAATCACTTCCCCTCCTTTTTCTGGTCTCAAATATCCTCATCTGCAAAATTGTGAGGTGGGACTAAATTGCTTCAAAAGTCCCTTACAGCTATTCTGAGAAATCTGAGGAACAAGGTTGTTCTCTACTCTGCCTAATCATTTTTTTGACTTAGTTATAATAAAAGGCAGAGAACAGCTTTGCACATGACAATAAGTAGGATTGTTTTATCTGGCATCCAAAAAGCAATGAAAACACAAGATGCCATCATTCTGAAATGTACCACACTTGCTCATGGTAAACTGAGATTTAGCTCCTTGAAAACTGGGCAGTACAAAGCAGATTTTTGCCTGGTATTTGTGTATATTGAATGTGACATAGAACACCTGTGACACAGGTTGATTGGATTTACAGGGAACCATCATTGATTTATCTAACATTATTCAAGCAGATATTAATGCAAAAATATCCACCTAGTGTTTTGCATTGTTGATATAATGTTACAATGTTTCTCAGAAAATCCAAGCTATCTGCTACTTCAATATTGCTTCTCCAATGTGATTCTGTTATAAATCTAACATCCTCATTGTACTCAGTAAAGCACCTGCTTTTTAGGGGAAATGATTTTTGGTAGTGGTTGACCTTAATGTATTTGGGACTCAAAAATGCATAAGTTGAACACTTGTAAGTGAGGAAAAATCTTGGGGAGGTGTTGCTCAAAGGAACAGACAACTTAATGACTAACAGCAGATAAATAAAATATGCAAAGAAGGCTTTTAAACAATAAAGGCTGCAATGCCAATTTAAGAACAATAACATAAATTATAAGCAGATTTGTTCAAATTGTTTGAGTTAATTCGAGGGGCTTGTGTGTGTGTGTGTATGAGTGTGTGTGTGTGGGTGGGTGGGTGTGTACATGCTATTTGAATTAAGTTAATTGGATACAGTTATTATTGAATGGGTTGATGCAGTAAGTTTATTAGCAAGGAAGACAGCTGTACCATATACATTCAGGATGTTTCTAACTCCAGGTCCAAAGGGGTCTAGAATTCCACCAACAGAGAGATTCATTCCTTAGGCATACCTGTCCCTGTAAGCTAACTAGCCCTCGGAAGGGTTAACTGTACAAATACATATTTCACTGGCCTAGTGAATTTCAAATGGTAAATGACTGGTAACTCTTTCTCATGACTATCCTTTGCTTACAGGTTGTATATAAAAATAATGATGTCAGGTTGGAATTATCTCGGCTTGCCAAACAAGGAGATCCTAAGATGAAGATACATGGAGTAGTGGCGTTTAAATGTGAGAATGTCGCAACATTGGACCCAATCACCTTTGAGACACCAGAGTCTTTCATCTCTCTCCCAAAATGGAACGCCAAGAAAACAGGCTCCATATCATTTGACTTCCGCACCACAGAACCTAATGGGCTTATCCTCTTTAGCCACGGCAAGCCAAGACACCAAAAGGATGCCAAAAACCCCCAAATGGTAAAAGTTGACTTCTTTGCTATTGAAATGCTGGATGGCCATCTCTACCTATTGTTGGATATGGGATCAGGTACTATCAAAATAAAAGCTTTGCAAAAGAAGGTGAATGATGGAGAATGGTATCATGTGGACTTTCAGAGAGATGGACGGTCAGGTAATTTTCTAATTTTTTCATACTCTTTGTTGTGCTTCCCTTTTACTAAGAATTAAAACAAGGAGATATTGAGGATTTCTTGTATTTATAACTTTAGGGTAAAAAATTTCCATTAATATTCAGGCTATAACATGATTGAAAGAATCAGGAGTTTCTTCATCATCCTGTTTGGGTACCAAACCCAAAGTGAACATTTTCTAAAGCCTTCTTTTTTACTGAACACTCCTTTTGCATAATCAGGGACTACATATTAGAAGAATATTTATCTCAACTTTTTTTTTTTTGCAGAACTGAGAGTCCCTTAGCTGCTGATTATTACTTACATTATTTCATTTTGAAGTAGCTGAAATAGCATCTTGCGAAGAAGATAAAAATAAAATTGCCCAGAGATTGTCACCCCTGTGATACAGTAAACATTTTGACCAAAGTTGCCTTTAGGCATAGACTGATTGAATGGCAACTGTGCCATGTGATTTACAAGGCCCTAAAAAGGTGTCAAAGTACTTACTGATGTGTGGTCCTATGCTATTTTCATTTAATTTGATAATTGTAGACTTGCTAAACCAATTAAATGAGAAAATGGCTTCCCTCCCCCACCAAAAAAAAAGTGTTTTAAGACTTGATACCATTATCAAGAAGCATTCCGTTAACCAGACAATTGCCAGATTTCCATTTTGTGCTTTATGGTCTCAGGCGATGAGTTATATTGTCCTAGAGTCTAAGAAGACTATGTCTATTTTTTTTTAAATGAACCAGGTTTTCCACAAATAGTCTTTTCTCCTGTTTTCAATGGTTATTCAATCAATCCAGAATCTACTAAGTACCTAGTATATGCTTAGCACTATGCCATCAAGAACTTTACATTCTCCTAGGGTGAATACAATGTGTGTGGGTTTACACTAATAAACAGATGAAGCAGAGAATACCTCTTGGATAAAGTAGCACTTGGGTTGAGTCTTGAAGGGAACTGTGGCTTCCAAGAGAGAGAAGTGAGGAGGGAGAGCATCGAGGTGAAAGTCACATGGAGAAGATACTTAAATTGTTATACCACCTGTATACTAGTCCACTTGGTTTCCATTGACATAGCTGACATTTTGGAGATGACTGGAGAACCTCCCAAAATGTCCCTCTCATCCAAGGCTGAAGGTTTCTGAAATTTCAAAGATTTAGTTTTTGTTTTTGTTTTTGAAGTTCCTATTCCTGTGGTTGATTTTTAAAACTAAATGTTCCTAGGAGGAGCAAGTCATTGAACTCATTCAGAGCAAGGTATTAATGACTTTGGATTTCAGAGCTCTAATCCACTTTCTTCCTGAAAGGTGCTACGGATCACTGATTAAGAAAGGGATAGGAAACCAGGTTTCAGGAGTTTGAGGAAAATTGCAAAGACAAGGAGGCTGTGAGGTAGAATACAAAACTTTTCTTTTTTTTTTCCCTCAGAGCCCATCTTGATTATTCCACTATAAATGGTCTGAGCCATACCTGGAGAAATGGTCTTGATGAGAGTTTCATTAAGTTTCAGAAGCCAAGACCTTTGCCCTTCCAAAGCCTCAGCCTCGAGATCTTGAATAAGATCTGAATAGATGCGCCTTCTTCCATAGCCCTAAAAAGAACCAGGCTCCAGTTTGTTTATCAGTCCAGAAAAAACCTTAAACTTTTAGAAACTCCCTTTATTTCCCTTTGAAAGCTCTCTTTATCTCCCTTTGAAAGCAAACTTCTACCTTCCAGTTCCCTTCATTATCTATTCCCATTGTCTGTTCAATCTCTCAGACCTTCCAATTGGAATTCTTACCTAGACTCTTTTTCCCAACCACCTCCCCCCATCAACTGGCCTTTCATTGTGGCTACACCCAATCTCCCCTCCATTGTTTTACCTTCCTATGGCCCCTGGACATTTCCCACCCTTAATCCTAGCTAGGCTAATTACTAGCCACTCCCATCCAGATCTCCCTAGGCCCTTTCTCCCATCACCCCAAACTACTTGGCCACTCCTAGATCCCTCCCACAGTTTTTTACTGTATTTAAGATCCACCTTTGCCCCCATTCAGAGGCTGAACTGTTCTCACACCTAGAGGCTGAGGCTCTCATGCCCTCTTGTCCTTACTGGCGTCACCTGACCTCCCCCATTCAGAGGCTAAACTTTTCTCATGCCCTTGGAGGGCACTCTTGGAGATAGACTGCCATGTGAGGATGAGCCTACTTTAGTAGAGAAAAGCTTACCACTGCCAGAAGATTAACTACCTGGTAATATATACATACACACATATACATATATGCACAATGTGTATATGCATAAGTGCTTACACACACACACACACACACACACACATATATATATGTATATATATATAAAATATTTGACTTATGGCTGATGTCACCTGGCTTAAGATCCACCTTAGCCCCCATTTAGATGCTGAGAACCTCTCACACCTAGAGGCTGAGACTTTCATGCCCTTACAGGTGTCACTGATGTTTGGGTTCCTTGGGAGTCTGGCCTATATGCTTTATCTTTAATAAACTATTTCTCTGGCTGGAAGAAGATTTGGGTTGAATTCATTCAGGCAGACCTGGTGCCACGATCTTGGGATGCCTCTGTGTATCTAGGAGCACCCCAAAACCTCTAAACCTCTTCAGTCTCAACAAAGTAAAAATCTCAATGGTATCCAACTAGCCAAAATATGAATTTTGGCAAGGAAGGTCACTATTCAATCTATGCTTGAGCACTAGAAGCATTGATTTTAAAATACTCAACTTTAGAAATGTTAATTAATGGCATTTGGTTCAGATATTGTGTTCAAGCTAGTGGCATGGTAAATCAGCATTAATGTGAAAAATATTTGCCTAGATTTTATAAAGAGTAGAGTCAAAAAGTGATTACCTTTTGCTCCTTAAAATATATATAGTGAATAACAATCTCAACTAATCATAATAAAACCATAATTCCTTTTTATATCAAGGGTGTTCTTGTGGGCACAAGTGACTTATTCTAGTGGTTCTTTTCACCAAACCTCCCAAAACAGAATTACCTCCTTGATTTACATTCACTTTGAGGGCATATTATTTAGTAACATATAAGTTAATAACAATCCACCCTCCCTTATATTTCTCAAATTTTCTTTTGGTTTGAGGGCTGGCTTTTTTTTTTTGCAATCTTTTCTTTCATTTCTTTCATGCCCCACCCCTCCCATTACCACATGAATTAAATCACCTTCTTATTAGGGTTTGCCTAATTGAAATAATAGTTTCTTTTTTTATCCATTGTCTTAAATACATCATGGAGGGAAATTTCAGAGATGGGAGCTAAATAAGATCTTAGCAGATATATAATTTAGTAACCACACTCTAAGAAGTTGCCTGAGGCACTGATAAGATAAAGACCTTTCCCAGGTCAGGTACCTAGTGAATATCAGGGGTAAAATTTTAACCCAGGCCTTCCTGATTCTAAGCACAGCACTTTCTCTATACCAAGATGACTATTTTTTTAAAATTCTGAACATAAACTTCAAGAAGGAGCATTTACATGCAGAGAACATAACATAAACGTAGAATTTTATATGAAATTGAACCTACCTCTTACTTTTTTTTTTATCAAGTAAATAATACATGGGTAGCTGAGTGGCACAGTGGATACAGTGCCAGGCCTTGAGTCAGGAAGATTCATGTTCCTGAGTTCAAATCTGGCTTCAGACTCTTGATAACTATGTGACTCTGGGCAAGGCCCTTAACTTAATTTGCCTCAATTTCCTCATCTGTAAAATGAGCTGGAGAAGGAAATGCAAAATCACTCCAGTATTCTTGCCCAGAAAACCCTAAATGGGGTCACAAAGAGTCAGACACAAATGAAACAATTAAACAACATATTCTACACATTACTTTCAATACTTGTTTGTGTTTTCTTTTGAACTTCCTCTCTCTTCAACGCATTTTTTAAATGTTGCAGGGACCCACTTTTTTTCTTTTTGGAATCTCTGTTGCCAAGCTGACCTCACTTAACTTTGCCCCCTTCCAATGAAAAACTGAGACGAAATAGTGAAGAGGTCTAGAGGTTTTGGGGTGCTCGAACAGACCCCAAGACTGTGGTGCCGGACCCTGCCTGAAAGAATTCAACTCAAATCTTCTTCTAGCTAAAGAAAAAAGTTTATTAGAGATAAAACATATAGTCCAGACTCCTAAGGAACCCAAACATTAGTAACACCCTTAGGGACAAGTGGGCATGAGAGTCTCAGCCTTTTGGGCATGAGAAAATCTCAGCATCTGAATGGGGGCCAGGTGGATCTTAAATACACTAAAGTAACTTTGGGTGTCCAGAGGAGGGGGCTGGGAAAAGGGTCTAGATGAGAATTCCGATCGGAAGGTCTGAGAGATTGAATAAACAATGGGAATAGATAATGAAGGGAACTGGAAGGTAGAAGTTTGCTTTCAAAGGGAGATAAAGAGAGTAGATCAGGAACCTAAAAGTTTAAGGTTTTTCTGGTACCCATAGACAAATGGGAGCCAGGTTCTTTTTAGGGCTAGGGTCAAAGGTGCATCTGAATAAGATCAAAAGGTAAGGCTAAGGCTTTCAAAGGGAAATAAAGACAGTCTATAAGGAATCTAAAAGTTTAAGAGTGTTCTGGGAATCATAGACAAATGGGAGTCAGGTTCTTTTTAGGGCTAGGGAGGAAGGCACATCTGAATAAGATCAAAAAGTAAGGCTAAAGCTTTCAAACGGAAATAAGGAGCTGGGGCCTGTAGAACCAGATTCCCTTTGGGTCAAGGGGTGAGGATCTCGACTTGGGCCAAAACCCCCGTCAGTAGGAGATGGGGTGGGGGGATTGTAACAAGTAAAGTTAAGTGAAACAGAACCATACAGTATTCATCTCCAAAAATATGTGTGTCTGGACTTTGTATCCATGACCTCTCCCTCTGTAGATAGATAAATACATGTCATCTTTGCTCATCTGGATACATGCTTGGTCGTTATATTGATTAGAGCTAAGTCTTTCAAAGTTATTTTATGTTTA